TCTGGGTGGACCCAAACCTCCAACCAACCTTTTGATTAGCAGCCAGGAGTGTTAACCACCCAGAGACTCCAGTGCAACTTTGCATTTGACTATGTACCCTGTGGGTTAGGCTTTTGATTGCTTACAACTATCTTTACCAAATAGTATTTAGATTCTTGATACAAAGAAGTCTAGTGCTCTGAACTGATTTAACCCATTTGTGGTAAGCAGACTCTTTACAAGACGAGAAACAAAATTATCCTAATTAAAACAGTTGTAAGCATTAATTGTTATGTTTGCAATGAAAAAGCAGCTTTAGACATTAGCACTTCATTAGGTGGTGGCAGATGCACTTTGGTGAACTCATCATTCTTGAGTAAGAAGTAAGCAAACATAAGGCAGCCAGATGCATTGCTGACGACCCAGGCTTTTGAGTTACACAGGCCTAGGTTGGAATCTGGGCTCTGTCTTATATTTGTTGTGTTAATTTGTTCAACTCATGTCACCATGTGGTGAAGGGGGCGGGCGGGGATAATACTTGCAAAGATTTTGTTCGTTTGTTCGTTTTTTATAAGAAAGGTACTTAAAAAATGCTAGTGCCATTTCAGTTTTGAAGAATTTATAAAACATAGGACAAAGTAGCATCAGCTTTTAACTGTCCTTGGAATTTGGCTATGCAGCTTCATATCATGTTCTTGAATTCAGAAGTTTTATCCCCAGAGCAAGGGCAGAGCAAGCAAATCTGTCAGATCTGGGCTTAGCTCTGCTCAGGGCTCCGGTGTCAGCAGATGGAGACATTGAGAGAAGAGCGGATCAAGCCATGAGCATTGTCATCAGATACATTTGCCATCAAACTACGACCATAAAATTCTCTTTCGTTAGTCACCAGAAATGAGGAGTTATTGTGAACACATGACGCATGCTAAATGGGTGCCACTAAGTCACATTTAGTTAGATGAACATGTTTGTGAAAAAAGCTGCCATAATTAAGTGTTTGATTGTGGTGAGAAAATGGTTTTTAAAAAATTGTTTTCTATTAGAAAAGCATAATATTTTCTTGAATGTGGCATTCTCAAATATTCCATGGGTCACCTGTATTTGTGTCCCCATTAGGTCTCCACTATATATGGAAGAATTAGTGATTATAACATTAGTTAGCTTTCTGAGAGCTTTCTTTGTGCTAGACCTGGTTCTAGGCACTTGAACTTATTTAATCCTCACAACAACGTTATGAAGTAGGGTATATTATTATCCAGTTTTAACAGATGAGAAAACTAAGGTACAGAGAAGTTAAGTGATGTCCCAAAGCCACACAGCTAGAAAGTAGTAGAAGTGGAATTTGAACCCAGGGTGCCTGGCTACAGAGTCTGCATTCTTAAGTCTACACTCCACTGCCTCTGTGGTGAGAAATTAGGGAATTTAAAAGTGCCATAGCATGACACCGCAGTTCATAGAACTGAAAAGAATAAGCAAGCAAATTAACGTAGGTATCCATGTGGCTTGCAATCTAGGCAAGTTCATGAAGTTACAAGTTAAAACAGTAGCATTCGGAGTGCAATTCTAGATGGGAATAACAGGAGTGTCCCCTTTGGGATGCGGAATGGAGAGCTGTAGACTCCACGGGGGTCCCAGGAGGTGAGTAAGACAAAGTTCAAAGCAATGGATTGTACCTAATATGCTCTTGCCCTTGAGGAAACAATTCGGTGGAAAAGAGAGTGCCAAAGAGGGCTCTGGGAAGTTTGTCTGGGGGCCAGGTTTGCCTGTAGTGTGGGTGCCTTTTACTTGTACAGAAATAGAGTTAGAATATGGGTAAATTTCTGAACATATTTTAAAATGTTTAAAAACAAGCAAACAAATGGAACAGTTACAAAAAAGTTAAAAAATAATGATTTACACATAATTCTTTAAAATTTACTCCTCTGGTTTGTATTTGTAACTAAGAGTGTACAAAAGTGACTTTGTTATAATTTTTTGCAAACATTTTTAAAGTAATTCCTATTCCTATTTGGATATGCGAACCCTTTAGATATGCTCCATCTAGGGAACTAAAGGCACTGCTAGTTAGAATTGTGTTGTATGAATTCTGTTTGATTAGATGTTCAGAGGATAGACAGGCTTTGAAATCAGATTAACTTGCTCAAACACAAGTTACAAGATAATAAATAAGAGATCCACTAAATCATTAAACATGCCAGCATTTCTCAAAGATTTTTTCAATATTCTACAGCTGATTGAATATTTACAATATACTGTTAACTCAAGGAGCCCTGGTGGCACAGTGGTTAAAGAGCTCAGCTGCTAATTAAAAGGTCAGTAGTTTGAACCCACCAGCTGCCCTGCAGGAGAAAGGTGTGGCAGTCTGTTCTCATAAAGATTTACAGCCTTGGAAACACTATGGGCCAGCTCTACTCTGTCCTATAGGGTCACCATGAGTTGGAATCCACTTGATGACATTGAGTTTGGTTTTTTGGTTTATGTTAACTCATGGTGACAAAACAATTAAAATATGTATGTGTTTCCAATTTATTACTGGAATTCCAATTTATTATTATATATTATTATTCCAATTTATTCCAACTAAAGAAAAAGAAGGAAAACCATGCCTATGTTTGATTTTTTTAAAAGTTTTGTCTAAATAAAACACAGTGTTTAGACAAAACATTGGTGAAGAAGAGTAATATCAATAAATCTTAGACAAGCAACATACTCTGCATATTTCTAGGCAGGTTTTGAGAACACTTTGGCTGAATATACATTTTCATAATTTATCATTATAGCACAAAAATAGGAGTATGAACAAAGTCTCTCCCTTATGGATAGCCATGCAGCAACACCTTTCTGAGAATTTCTATCTGTAGCACTAATTGCATTGCTTAAAACGAAGGTCTTATTTGCACAGAGGGACTCATTTCCATTCTGCTAAATCCAAAGGCATTCAAGACCTGGGGATGAGAGGCAACATCTACATTTTTATCTACTAAAATGTACTCTAGTTACTAAACTCTGATCAATTGCTCACTTGTTAAACAGATTTTAAAAATCAAGATAGTAATCAGTTTTGGTATTTGTAATTACATGGGTTTCTTTGGACAACTCAGAAACTTACTAGCAATGACTGAATTTATATTATACAGATTTGAAAGATGTAAATCTAACATTTTGGATTTTTCACCTGCTTATGAAAGAAACCTTTTTATTGGATTCCTAATGATTGATTCATTCATAATTTATCTCCCAGTCATGCAGTCCATATAGTGTTTCATGTTCCCAAGTCTAAAAATAAGATTTATGTTTTCAAATTAAAATTCCTGGTTGTAATTTTGTACATGAAACTAAAAGCCAGCTGTGCCTTGGACTTTGGGATCAGATCTTATGCCGTTATCAAAGAGATGGATGAGGCTAAAAGCCCACTTGCTACCCAAATGGAAACCTTATGAATGGAACAAATACCCATGTACTCTTCAGTCTATCTTGGGTTTTGAAACAGTAACCTTAACATTAGCAAAATACGCTGAACACAATTTGTATGGGAACAAATCCAGGCTCAAAAATGATTTCACCCTTTCAAGACTTGATGATATCTTGGCAACCGCAAGTACAACCTCGAGTACAAACTAGACATCTGAAAGCCCAGGTAAGAGAAGCATCTGCCCTCATCTTAGGTTATGTAAGTTGACATCTTTCAGTTTCCACATTCAAGATAAGAATAATTTTTAAATATTAAATGCTTATTGTTGTACATAACCAATTTCTGTTTATTAGGCCCATAAGCCATCTGTATCTTCTCTTTCTCTCCTCCCTCTGTAGTCCACCAGGCTTTACAGAAGGATTGAGTTGTTCGCATTTATAGTTCATTCAGACAATCCCAAGACTGTCAAGTCTGATGTTTCTGTACTAAGTAAATGGGTCAAGATGGATGTAAATGAACCAAACTTTCAATCAGATGTGATTTGAGTATACAGTACTATAGTTTAGTTGTAATAGAAAGTATTAGAGCTTAAAAGGCTCAGAATAATTCAGCCTAAAATATCTTGGGGTCTTTTTCCATTTTAAACTGAATTGAGCAATTCTGTGTGGTTGAGGATTGACAGCATAATGGAAACAGAGCAAACCGCAGAATTTCTCACCAGGTAACTGCATTAGCAGCAAAACGCGTAATGCAGTCTGTTGGTTGAAAAAAGTATGAAGGAGTTTCTGTTTTCCTATAAGATCCCACATTCTTACAGTTCTTGGCCAATTATGAATTATAAATTATGGTGTTGGTGAAGAATAGTGAGTATACCATGGACTGCCAGAAGAAGGAACAAATCTGTCTTGGAAGAAGTACAGCCAGAATGCTCCTTAGAAGTGAGGATGGCTAGACTTAGTCTCACATATTTTGGACATGTTATTAGGAGGTACCAGTCCCTGGAGAAGGACATCATGTGTGGTAAAGTAGAGGGTCAGCGAAAAAGAGGAAGACCCTCAGTAAGATGGACTGACACAGTGGCTGCAACAATGGGTTCAAAGACAGCAATGATTGTGAGGATGGCACAGGACAGGGCAGGGTTTCATTCCGTTGTACACAGGGTTGCTATGAATTGGAACTGACTTGATGACACCTAATAACAACAACACAGCCAAACTGCAGTTATTGGAAAATGTTCTCTACCCTGTAACATTTAGCAATATATTGAGAGATCTCATGGCTACTGATTCTCCTTATAATTTGTTTATTAGCAGTGATAAATGTAATTAAAATTGCTTCCAAGTATTGCCTTCTATTTTTGATATACACATAACACAAGATACTGCTATCTAATAGCAATACCGAATATTTGTATACATGCCTGAGGATTGACTAATGGTTAAAACAGTAGACAAATGTTTCAGTGATCTTTGAAACTTTTATACGCCACAGAATCTCTTTTTTTTTTCCTAGATAGAACTTTTTATGGGCTAAAATGCATAACACAAACATTATATATAGTTCTTATATTACATAGACTGTATGTAGATTCTTGCTTATATGTTTCACTTACCAGAATCAAGAGGCAACTTGAGGCCAATTTTGTGTGCTCAGGGATGGTAGAAAACACTGACAAAATCAAGCAACCAAAGACAAGGAGGAAACTGTAAAACAGACAAATAAAAAGAGAAATTTGGTAAGAATACTCACTTATCATTACAGACTTAATTTGTTTCTAATAAATAACGCACCAGACCCATTTGAATTAGCACAGGTTTAATTAAAGCACTGGGAGGGACTGACATATTGAATATCAAAATACAATATAATATAGAGAGCAAATGAGGCTCTTTTGCAAATTTATTGATGAAGGAAAGGCTGCGTGTGTGGGTTTGTGTGTGTGTGTGTGTGTTATGTGCTGTATTTAAAGATCCAAGTCTAAGAATCTGTGAACTTCCTACACAATTCCTTTCCAAACAAGGTATCTGAGAAAAGCCCAGAAAGTGTGTTCTTATTCACTTATCCTAGGAGCACAGGCTGACAGCCACCCTCCTTTCAAAAAAGCCGAATCTGCCTCACCTTTGGCAGCTGTGGCAAACCATCAAGTGTTCTAATAGTTGTTACCAAGATAATGGCTCATTTTCAGAGGCTGATATTGCTCATGGATTCTGAGTTGTCATTCTTTCATAACTATAATAAGAGCAGAAAAGGACGGGAATGATTTACTCTGCTACCCGTGCACTTTCCACTTCCTTAAAGCCAAACTCTTAGAGAAAGGACCCTCTGCCCTCTGTCTGTTCTTACTCTAATGACAGGAAGTACAAGTCAGGAGCAGGCATTTTCTACCAATTAATCTACAGACATTTTAATTCCTAGAAATATGGAACTTCTGAGATCCAGAGAGAGCTGAGTTCCTAAAGAAAACATCTAATAAAAAGGAAAGCTTTGTTTCAAAGTTGACGTTACCCTGAAAAGCAAGATTGAAAAAAAAAGAAAGAAAAACTTAAGCTGCTTGCTCTGGATTATATTTTTCATTTTCACTAATCTCTGGGAAGTTATACTGTAAGCCCCCTTAAAATAACAGTTTCCATGTTATTCAGTATGACACTGGAGTTAGTCCCATCTTCCTGTTTGCTTGATCTGACTGAACTATTACAAGTCTTTCTACTATTCTTCACTGGGAGCTTCTAAGGGCTTAAAGCCAGGTGTTCGCAAATTATGGCCTGGAGGACAAATATGGCCCCCAATGTCTGTTTTTGTAAATACAGTTTTATTGGAACACCAGTCATGCCCACTTGTTTATGTATTATCTATGGTTGCTTTCATGCTACAGCTGTAGAACTGAGTAGTTGTGACAGACGATATTACCTGTATTTCTATTTCTTTGTATCTCTCCCAACACAGAACCAGAGTGGAAGTTCAAAATTGCTCTTGTACTGTGGAGTTTCTTCTATGCCGAACTCTATGCTGAGCCTCTTTCGCATGCATTATTTCACATAATCCTTATAAATTTATGGAGTAGAAATATCATTATCTCCATTTTACAGATGTGGGAACTGAGAATTTTACAAATGTGGAAACTAAAAATTAACTCACCCAAGACTCTGTAGCAGAAGGAAGTGTTTCAAGCACTGTCTGTGTAGTGTAAGTCGCCCCATAGTGTTGTGGAATGGGCATGCAGAGATGAGTGCTGAGGTAACATTCTTGGCTCAGCAAGCCTCTTGGGGATACTGCTCTATCTCCTCAAATAGAAAAGGAAGTAGTTCCGATTCTCAATAGAAGCCTCCAAGGGGAAGGAACCTACTAGTGAAGAGAACTTACTACGTGATGTTACTGACTACTACTTATCATGCTTTTGACTCATGCATCTAGTGATTCAGGATACTTTGGATTATACTTTAAATTGGCCTGAACAGACAGGAAATTATACACTAGAAATCAAATTCTAGTGTACCTCTATGATCCCTACACTACCAATTAGAAAATGAAATTCAGGGATCACTAGGATAGGTGGGAAGACGATGTGGCATTAAATATGGACAGTGACAGATATTTCCCCTCTGGTGAACGGCCGCTATGTAAATATGCCCCTTGATTCTGGGCTTACCAGAAAACATTTAAAAAAGCAAGCAGAGGATTACTTAATGACTAAGACATCTTCTTCCTCCAAGATCATCCCAGTAGTAGCTTCATGATGTTATGCTTGTGTTCAAAACAGATCTATAACACAAGTCCTTTGCTGGTTTCTTCTTCATAAATATTTGGTGTTGCTTAATCTTTTTCTTTCATGTCCCCACTTTGCCCATTTTCTTTTCTGAGATAATCTCACCCTCCTTTCTTACAAGAGTAGCTTTTGTATGAGCATTCTGTTATTTCTACAGGGGTCCCTCTGCAGAGCAAAAGTCAAAGACCTGTGCGTAGGAGAGCCTCTGCTGTTTAGGCTGCTCAAGGGGCTATCAATGGGCAAATTCATTCATTCATTCATTCAACTCTTCATCCATTTACACAGTCAGCTAATATTGATTAAGCATATAATAATGCTAGTCTGAGCCACAGAGAAATAACAGTAAACAAGGCTAATTCTTTTCTTTTTTTGGTCTTCACAGAATCTAAGTTCTATTGAAGCATTACAAAGAACTATACAAATGTAAACGAAAAATTAAATTTCTGTGTGATGATTACAAAGATATGGAAAATACAAGGAGAGAAAACGTTAACTGGGTTTGGCTATTAATTTCCAGGGTTATGGAAACCCTGGTGGCATAGTGGTTAAGAGCTACAGCTGCTAACCAAAAGGTCAGCAGTTTGAATCCACCAGGTGCTCCTTGGAAACTCTATGGGGCAGTTCTACTCTGTCCATAGGGTTACTATGAGTCGGAATCGACTCAGCAGCAATGAGTTTGGTTTTTGGTTTAGTGCAAAATGAAAATTCTTAAAAATTATTAATTATTAAAAACTAAATTATTGAATTAAATTAAAAATTATTAGAGTTTCAAGAGGAAAACAGCAGAGCATGAAACCAAGTCGCACACCCATGAGGCCAGTCCTGGGGTTAGGGAAGGCCTCCAGGAGGAAATGTTGACCAAATTGAGACCTGAGGGTCCAGTAGCAGTTAGTTAGGGCAGCGACTGCAGAGAAAGAGCACTCTAGCCCATTAGACAGTGTGGATGAAGGCCAGATGCAAGAACAGGATCATTAGAATTTACTAATTAATCAATTAATAAAGGTTTGTGAACATCTACTAGCTAGCTCATCATTCTGCAATACATGAGAAGTGTAAGGCAGGTCATTACTGCAAATTTATTTTTTGCACAGAAATAATGTCAATTCAATTGAAAACATCTATTGATTATCCACTGTGAAAGGTACTATGTCGAACACTATAGGAGGTACAAGGATAAATTAAAGCAATCTGTACTTTTAAGGAATTTATAATCTAGTCAAGTCTGACTGTAGCACAGGGTGAGACAGGCAGCTGAACTGGGAGTCTGGGCCATGTTGGGGAGAAGTTTGTATGGCAGGATCTGCACATAGTTCAATAGACAATGAAGAATCATTGAAGATTTTCAAGCATGGTACTAATATCACCAGAGACACCCTCTGGGGAGAAAATTGGGGAGTAGAGGCTGGGAAGGGAGTGTAGTGGCTGAAAAGTGACAGATGACTTTAAGTTTTTCACATGTAGTTACGAGTGGTTCTCCTAATGTGGAAGTGAGGAGGAAAAACTAATTTTGGGGAGAAGACGTCCAGTTTTTGACATTCACATGGAAATGTGGATATAAATCTTGGGAACAAAATCTAGTTAGAGTTATGGAAGTACTTTTTTCCTGGAACAAGTAAATGTATGGAACATGCTATACTGAGGACAGTGCAGACCAAGCAGATAAGATTTAGCAAAAGTTTAAGTAAATAAACATAAAGGTTATTTCAGGAACAATTCTTGATCTTGTAAGATGATCTCATGGAGAACAACCAAGATATTCTCTCCTCATAGCCTTTCTAGAGACAGGCTCCCTGGATGGAGAAAGCACTGGCCTGACACAAAATGACTCCTCTGAAGTCACCGTGTTGAGACATTGGGCTCATTGGCAGTGACATGGCACATTGCTGAGTTTGAGTGTGGCTCTGCTGACATCATTGCTTCTGTGGGTCCCAAGCACAGGTGTGCATGCTGGAGGCTGAACATTACCCTTCCCACCTCTCTAGTGGTTGAATAAAAGTGGGAGCAGTGGCAAGACTCACCGGCCTCAGGGTTTCTTAATCTAGGGTCCATGGGTCCAGGGGGTTGTGACTAGAATTTAGGGAGTCGTAGAACTTGGGTGGGACAAAAAGATTTATTTTTCATATCCATGGCAACCTACCACTTTTCTGTCAGTTTGTCATACTGTAGTGGCTTGTGTGTTGCTGTTACGCTGGAAGCTATGCCACCAGTATTACCTCATATGCATGTGAAAGCTGGATAATGAATAAGGAAGACTGAAGAAGAATTGATGCCTTTGAATTATGGTGTTGATGAGGAATATTGACTATACCATGTACTTCCAGAAGAACAAACAAATTTGTCTTGGAAGAAATATAGCCAGAATGCTCCTCAGAAGTGAGAATGGTGAGACTTTGTCTCACTTACTCTAGACATGTTACCAGGAGGGACCAGTCCCTAGAGAAGGACATCATTCTTGGTAAAATAGAGGGTCACTGAAAAAGAGGAAGACCCTCAATAAGATGGATTGACACAGTGGCTGCAACAATGGGCTCAAACATAGCAATGATTATGAGAATGGCACAGGACCAGGCAGTGTTTCATTCTATTGTACATAGGGTCGCTATGAGTTGGAAACGACTCTATGGCACCTAACAATAAAAATGATCCTGGCAACAAACCATGATAGTATTAGCAGTATGGATAATTTAGTAACTGATAGAAATCACAGATGTTTTCAGTTGCAGATCAAACTGTAATTGTTTCATCTTGAATATTGTTTTTGCTCATCACTACTTCAAAATTCCACCACCCATCTGTTAGTTTGTCATATTGTAGTGGCTTACATGTTGCTATGATGCTGGAAACTATGCCACTGGTATTTCAAATACCAGAAGGGTTGCCTGCGGTGGACAGGTTTCACGGAGCTTTCAGATTAAGACAGACTAAGATGAAAGTTCTGGC